CAGACTAGTCTTCCTTCAAGCTCCCACAGGAGAGGATCCTGGGGCAGGGATGGTGTAGGGCAGGCGCCTCTCTAGGGAAGGGGATTTGCAGCATTCTGAGAGAAAGAGCATCCCTTACAAGACATTCGGGACAGAAATGTAGGTGAAAGGGTTGGAGGTTTCTAATCAATTTTATTTAGTCATAGATGTACACTGCTGAGAGGCCCCTCTATGCTGGGCCCTTAGCTAAGAACCATGACCACAGAGGTGAGTAAAATAGGATCCCAGCTTTGACACAATTCTGAATCTAGTGACTGGTGATTCATAAGTGTAGTGATGGTGGGTTCATTGGAACCAGTGGCCGATGCTGCATGAGATGACCTCAGTGGATGGCCTGGGCCAGTGACCCTTGACATCAGCCGTATTTCAGCACCTCGAGGTACAGTACACCCATGCCTCTGCTCCATGTTGAGTCAAAGCAGTTAACACGGTCAAGGTATTCAGAGGACACTGGTGGTATCAGTAGCTATTGAGTGTTCCAGCTGGGGAAACAAAGAAGTAAATTTAATAAGTCTCTAAATTTGTGCTTGCCATAATGATAAATAACTTTATCTTCATAATGAATCATGTCCTGGCAAATTAATTATAACTTGACATAATGAGAAATAACTTTATCCTGAGTACAGCTGTCACACAAGCCCTTGAGGACACATGCCTGAGGATTCTGATGAAGATATGATGTCCAAATATATGCACAGTTGGACCTACAGTCCAGCTTTGAAACAGCAGAAGACCCAGTTTCAAATTCAAGGTTGCTTTGAGTAGAAATTCACTTTACCTCTCTTTGCATGGCAATGGGGCCAATCTTCCCTATGCTGCCTCTTACAGGAAAAGGAATCATACTGGTAAGATTTCAGACTTAGCCAACATGGCTAAGTAAGGAAGTCTTACAAATCTCTTCTAGCCACCTAGCAAGAAACCAGAAATTTAGCAAGTTCATTCCCATTCAGGACAGTTGTGTGCACTAGATCACTAACACTGAGACATGAAGAACAGACCAACTAACAAGGGAAAATATTTCTTCCTGTCCTAGGACATCACTGCCAACTTCAGGGAAGAGGGAACACAGCTGCCCGCTTTACAGTATGGGTTACTTTTGTGCCTGGAATGTGTCTGACGTCCTGAGACCTGTACCCGTTTCAGGGAGCCTTGGGAGGAGCCTGAATCACGGATGGAATTGGACAGTGCATGGAGATGGTTGAGCAGGATGAGGGTAAGTGCAGGGGCATGGCCAGGTCATACTGGGAGACAGTGAGTGGCACTGATTGGGACAGACAAAGAGAAAGTCAACAGTTTGTGCTTCAGCATCAGAAACTCAAACCAATAATGAGTTTGCTTTTATAAGTAATGTGTTTTTCTATTTACATGAGAATTTAATCTCCAAAGAGAAATCATAAAAATAGTAAGTCCAGGGCATAAAACCTAAACCATAGCTCATATTTATTCTTTCTAAATGGAGCTATCAGTAAAATCTTCTTCATAAAACATATATTGTGGTTATAAGAAGGCAAAAGTTGGCCGGGAGTGGTGGCTCGCACCTGCAGTCCCAGCACTTTGGGAGGCCAAAACGGGTGGATCACAATGTCAAGATATCAAGACCATCTTGGCCAACATGACGAAACCTTGTCTCTACTAAAAACACAAAAATCAGCTGGACTTAGTGGTATGTGCCTATAGTCCCAGCTAGTCAGGAGACTGAGGCAAGAAAATCACTTGATCCCAGGAGGCAGAGGTTGCAGTGAACTGAGATTGTGCCACTGCATTTCAACCTGGTGACAGAGCAAGACTCTGTCTCAAAAAAAGAAAAAAAAGAAAGAAAAAAAGCAAAAGTCTTACTGAGAATCATTGGTATTCCATAGAAGAGAGAATGAAATACAGTCAAGGGAAGACCCAAGTCTCACACTTCTCTCGTATATTCCACAGTTCCAGGGAGATTCCAGGTAATAGAGGTTATTTCCCATGCTGTTAAAGCAAGGTTGCA